TAGACCACCTCTGCGTATTCTCTGCCTGAAAAGAGTCACCTTCACTCTGAATTGGCTTGACGGCACATTATTATTGTTATCATAAGTAGTAATGTAGTAATATTTGGGGGGGGCGGGGTTCAGCTCTAATTAGCTCTGCAAGTAAACTGTAGAGCTTTCCGTTCAGTGGCGGGAGGTTTTGATCGGCTGCACAAGATATTTTTAAAAACTGAAATGTCCCCTCTAGCTACCCTTCCTACGGCCTGTGTTTTTCCCCCCTACATCAGACCTGGGCAAAGCGTGGCCTGAGGGCCACGTACAGCCCACGAGCCACTCCTGTCCGCCCCGCGGACCATTTTGAACATCAAAACCATTTATACCTTTTTGTCTAAAGTTGATCAGTTGCTTATCTTTAACATACCGCAAAAAAAAAACACACAACTCTTTAGTATTTGTGAAGATTAACAAGTTTAACATAAAAACAATCATAACATCACTGTTTCAGTTTGTTTTTAAGTAAAGTTGGTTCAGTCCCCCCGAACACAGTTCAGATTTTTCTTGTGCCCCCCCTATAGAAATTAATTGCGCACCCCTGCCCTCCATCAATCCTTTAAGCTAGAGAGAGATTTAGGGAGGGAGCATTTCACCCGACCCACCCAGTATGCTTAATGGCACCTGGGGTCGGCAACCCACTTGCCCACCATACTTTTGGAATACAATTCCCATTATCCCCAGCCAGCCAGGATTATGGGACTTGGAGTTCTGGAGGAGGGAAACATTCCCAGTTGCCTGCCTGCTCTCTCTCTAACCACCACAACTGCAGGGTCTCCCTTCTTATCTCCTCTGTAAGAAGGCTTGGGTGATAAGATGGTATTTATTTAAAGATTATTAAAAGATGGGTTCAACCTTAGGCGGATGAGCCCATCAGAGAAGGTCGCTCAGTTCAAGGCCTCGGGTGGGTCACTCTGTGGAAATCGGAGGGCCTGCCGTCATACTCAAAGAGCCATGATGCACCACAGGCAGAAAGTGAGAGGTCTCGGAGCCCCCACCAGAAGGCCACAGATCTTCTGCAGAGGAACCCAGCGATGCATCGCTTCCCCGTTGTCTACGGCAGTGGTTCTTAATCTTTGTTACTCGGATGCTTTTGAACTGCAACTCCCAGAAACCCCAGTCAGGACAGCTGGTGGTGAAGGCTTCTGGGAGTTGCAGTCCAAAACTCCTAAGTAACCCAAGGTTAAGAACCAGTGGTCTACGGCACTACAGGGTGTTGCTGCAGCTAGGACTAAGTTTGGGAAAGACTGGGTTCTTTTGGACTACAAAACCCATTATCCCCTGGCTGGCATGGCCGGTGTGTGTGTGTATCTTCTGAGAACTGGGATCCAAGAAAACAACTTTGAGACCAGGTCACCGTCACAATAGGGAAGTTTAACAATATTTGCGCCTGCCCTTCTTGGATCAGTTAAAAGAGTCGGAAGTCAAACACTTGTCTTCCGTTCTGTAGCGGTGCCTGACAAAGAGCTCTGTGTAATTCGAAAGCGTGCATAGTCGCATCTCTAGAAAAAAAAAAGAGGAAGTGGGGGGAACACAGAGAGAGATAAAAGGTATCACTTTGTGTCTATTTTTAGAGAGTTTTTGCAGGTGCCAACAACCTGACAAAGAGCTCTGTGTAATTCGAAAGCGTGCATAGTCGCATCTCTAGAAAAAAGGAGGAAGTGGGAGGAACAGAGCGAGAGATAAAAGGTATCACTTTGTGTCTGTTTTTAGAGAGTTTTTGCAGGTGCCAACAAAGTTTTGTGACTGCTTAAAAAAAGGTTGGTGTACATTTTTGTACATCCCAGCTTAACTCTGGGATACCCGACAGCTTGCGCGTCACCCAACCTGGACAGGAGAAATGGCAGCCTTTCCAGAGTGACTTTCCTCCATTTCCAGGATGGTGGGTGACTATGATTATTAATTTCACTTTCTTCATTTTGAGCAAGGGAGCAGCTGCTCCGTTTTGGGGAACAGGAGCCGGTGTGGCTTAAAGGGAAGGAGGAAGGAGCCGGGACTCAGTTCGAATCCCCACCGAGCCAGGAAATCCGCTGGATGGCTTTGGACCAGCTGCACTGACCTGTGTTTCTTGCACGGCTGTTGTGAAGATGCGCTGAGGAGGAGAGACACAGCCACAACCTTGAAATCATTAGGAGGAGTTGTCCAGTCATGGTGTTCCTATGATTGACCAGCAGTTCTGCTCCAGTCTCTCTCAGGGCACGCAGACTGAAAAGTCGTGGTTTCTGCTACCGAGCCCGTCCATCTCACATTAGCTCCTCCTCTCTCCCTACTGCCTTCCGCTTTTCCCAACTTTATTGTCTTTCCTCCTAAGTCTTGCCTTCAAATAGAAAGTTCAAACTAGGATAGCTTCAGTTTGGTCTTTTTGCTGCTATAGAAACATCGGGCTTGAGTTGATCTAGAACCTTTATCTCTCTGGTGGTCCAGGGGCAGAAGAATGGACAATACAATTATGATAGTGGTGGTGATGATGATGATGATTTTTTTCTCTGACAAGGGAGGAGGGGCTGGAAATCTTAGCAAGGAAGGGAAGAGGAAATACCTAAGATTAAATTCCATTTTAAGAAGGGGGAAAAGTGGTGATCTTAGTATAATTTATACTAAGTTTATTAGATAACTCGTGTAATAAAGGGAAAAATTGCTTACAACTATATATAGTATTTTAATATGCTTAATATGTCTTAGTATAATTTATACTAAATTTATACTTAGTATAATTTATACTAAGTTATCATTAGATAACTCATGTAATAAAGGAAAAAATTGCTTACAGCTATATATAGTATTTTAATATGCTTAATATTTAGATGATAATAAAACATTTGGTTTAATTTTTAAGTTGTATCCAAGGTACACCCAATGGAGCGATGAGTCCGCTAGCTGAAAGTTACTTCTGTTCTCTTGGTTCTCGGTTCCCTATCCAGACCAGATGGGTGGGATATAAATTAATATGTTGTCTTGGTTCCCCATTAATAACAATATTTTTTTAAAAATAATCTAATATTCTCTGGCCTCGCCTCCCTTCAGGCGGAGAAGAAAGCCCCTTAGCCAGCCCCGCCTGGCAGTCAGAGGCTCACACTCTGCAGCTGCCCAGAGGCACTCTCGTCCAGAGTCCCCCATAGACGATAACTTCAGTTTGGTCTTTTTGCTGCTATAGAAACATCGGGCTTGAGTTGATCTAGAACCTTTATCTCTCTGGTGGTCCAGGGGCAGAAGAATGGACAATACAATTATGATAGTGGTGGTGATGATGATGATGATTTTTTTCTCTGACAAGGGAGGAGGGGCTGGAAATCTTAGCAAGGAAGGGAAGAGGAAATACCTAAGATTAAATTCCATTTTAAGAAGGGGGAAAAGTGGTGGTCTTAGTATAATTTATACTAAATTTATACTTAGTATAATTTATACTAAGTTATCATTAGATAACTCATGTAATAAAGGAAAAAATTGCTTACAGCTATATATAGTATTTTAATATGCTTAATATTTAGATGATAATAAAACATTTGGTTTAATTTTTAAGTTGTATCCAAGGTACACCCAATGGAGCGATGAGTCCGCTAGCTGAAAGTTACTTCTGTTCTCTTGGTTCTCGGTTCCCTATCCAGACCAGATGGGTGGGATATAAATTAATCAAATAAATAAATAAATAAATAAACAAACAAACAAACAAACAAACAAACAAACAAACCGTTAATAACAATATCTTTTAAAATAATCTAATATTCACTGGACTCGCCTCCCTTCAGGCGGAGAAAAAAAGCTCCTTGGCCTGCCCCACCTGCCTTTCCTTATTGACAGTCAGAGGCTCGCACTCTGCAGCTGCCCAGAGGCACTCTCGTCCAGAGTCCCCCATAGACACACAAGGAGCGCCTGGCGGCGGGGAGCGATTCCCCGACCTTCCAGGGGTTCTTCTTGCTTGGCTATTGGACGGCAACCGCCCCCCCCCAAGAATCCCCCTGGGGATGCTGGGCATTGTAGTCCACCAGCAACGACCAGAAGCCGGGCTTTCTCGGGTGCGCTCTTCTGTCTGGTCGGGCGAGCCGAGGATTCTCGGAGGAGGAGAAAGAGGAGGAGAAGGAGAAGGAGAAGGAGGCGCGCCCTGGGAGGTTGCGCCTATAAAGGAGCCCGCGGCCGGGCGGAGGGCGCTGCTTGGAGGCGAGCGGAGCCGGCGGAAGCCAGACGGGGCGCGCCGGTCGCCGGTTCGAGTCCCGCCACCGCCTCCACCGCTACTCAAAGCCTCCCGGGGCGCCATGGCTTCGCTGCTGAGTTCGTACGGGTGGGCGCCGCCCGAGGCGGGACCGGCCTCCGCCTCCGCGGGAGCGCGGTCCGAGAAGGGGGTCCCCGAGAGCCGCATCCGGCGGCCCATGAACGCCTTCATGGTCTGGGCCAAGGACGAGAGGAAGCGCCTGGCCGTCCAGAATCCGGACCTGCACAACGCCGAGCTGAGCAAGATGCTGGGTGAGCACCGCCCGGCGCGCTTCTTGCGCGCATCCCAGCCGGGGCGCGCAACCCCCACACACACCTTCTCCCTTCTCTTCCAGCCACCTTTCCTGACTTTTTCTCCCCCCTCCAGCTTTTTTAATGTCTCCCCTCTTCGCCCCTGTGTCCCGCTCCTGGGTCTACGCGGAAAACTTTTTTTTCTTTTCCGCGGTGTTTCCTCCTGCGCGCTGCGGCCCCTTTTAAGTTCCTTTAAAGCACGCCGTTTTTTAAAAAAAAACACCAGAAACTGCATCAGCAGCAGCAGTAACGAACCGGCTAAACGTCGTTACTTCTGAAAACCAGAACTTGGGGCCGTTCCTTTTTCCGGAGCTCCCCGCCCGCTCCGCGCAATCTCCCATCCAGCTGGGAATCGCGTTTCTCCCCCTTTTCCCCAAAAGTAACGTCTCCAAGTTCTGCGCTTCAGAAGCTGCTTTTCTCCCCCTGAAGGGAGGCGAGTCCAGGGAATCTTAGATTATTTTTAAAAATGTTTTTAGGAACGTTTTAGTAATAGGAACCGGGAAGCAAGGCAGCAGAAGTAACTTTCAACTAGAGGACTCATCGCTCCGTTGGGTGTACATTGGATACAACTTTAGACATTAAACCAAATATTTTATTATCATCTAAATACTACTTTAGTTTTATTTTCTAATCTTAGATTATTTTATAAAATGTTTTTAGGAACGTTTTAGTAATGGGAACCGGGAAGCAAGGCAGCAGAAGTAACTTTCAACTAGAGGACTCATCGCTCCGTTGGGTGTACATTGGATACAACTTTAGACATTAAACCAAATATTTTATTATCATCTAAATACTACTTTAGTTTTATTTTCTCGCAGAGGTTTCCATTCCCCCCTTGAAAGGAGGAACTTCTTTCCAACGCAGGTCCGCTGTTATTACGGAAACAAAAGGAGTTTAAAAGTTACTTTGTATCCCCAGATGTCCACGAAAACCGAATCGTTCCTATTATACATGATCCTTATTCATTGGTTAGACCCAAGCGGAATTTCAGTTTAAATGGCGCTTGCCCGGGAGGACCGTTTCCGCGGTGGATTGGGCCCCTCGTGTTAGGCTATGAACCCCGGGGGGAAAAAAATTAAATTTATTTCGTTTATTTATTTATTTTGCGCTCCTCTTTGCAAAAGACCAGATCAATTGAAGTTGTGGGCGCAGGAGATGCTTTGAAAACCTGCTTCTTTTCGTCTGATCTGCCTTGTCGATGGTTCTCTTGACATGTGCCAGGTGAACATTTAAAATGAAATTAGAAATTACAGGGACGTTGTAAAAAGCTAGGCATTTTAAAAATCGCTGTATCTTTTAAGAATTCTCAGTGGCGAAGATTTCTTTGGGAAGAACGAGACCAATTTTTCCTCCCCAAAAGGCGGAGAAAATATTACACATCTGATGTCTTAACGGACTCTCAAAAGAAAAAAACAAAAAAAAGAGAAAATGATGCTTAATACATATTCAAAACAGTTTTGAAAGTGCTGAAACTGTAGGATACTGAGAAACGAAGATGATCCTTGTCATCAATAAAAGGAGAATAAAAAACAAAACATGTTAAAGGCACTGAAATTTGAAAAGATTTTAGTTTTCTACATTTTTCCCCTAAAAGGCTGCTTTTATAAAACAGAAGAGTTATAAAGAGTAGCATTTATCATCATCTAAACAAAAATTGAAGTTCAACTAAGTTATATGCCTTTTTAAAAGGGCCTTAATGGTTTGAGTGGGGTGTTTGTCATACTGAGAATTGTGGTGGCCTGTGTTTGGAGGAACAAAATGGTTAAATCATCGTAAATTAAATACAGTATGTGTGAAGAAAAGACAAGTCCTGAAATTTATTTCATCAGATCCAATTAGGGTGACATCAAGCATTTGCTGAAGGATTAGATACAGGATGTGATAAATATTTGTGGATCACCCAAAGCAGTATATACTATGGAGAAAGCATTTTGAAAGGGTGGGGATAAGCAGCAATAGTGAAGATAGTGTTATTTCCAACATAGAATAAAACAAATATTAGAAATACAAAGCAAAGCATTTCAGAGAAAACCTCCCCTGTGTAAGAATTAACAGGGCTAGAGCAAGAACTGTATTATTGAGATTTGATGTCTGCTGAGAAAGGAGGTGTGGCTTGCGCAATAAAAAGGGGTTGGTTTGCAATATCGGTAAGAACAAAATAAAAATAAATAAATAAAAATAAAAGAACAAACAGAAAAGACAAAAATGTTGCGGCACCCTAAAGACCATCTCTTATATTTTAATGTGCACTCTCGTGGATAAAATCCCACTTTCTCAAGACCTAAAAGAAAGATAAAATGGCATCAAAATACAGAGATCGTGGGTGAGTGGGAAGAAAGCCAAGAGGTATTTGACATCAGGGTGAGAGCCTCTTGGATATAATTTATCTAATTTATTTAGAATAAAAGATTGAAATAGGGAAAAAATCATTAATTAAAATTAATTTAAATTTGGGGCAAATTTTTTAAAAGGGGACAGCTCCACTTTGCCTTCCAGCATCTGTTTTTAAATACCTGTTAGGTTGCTCAAGTCTATTTAGAATTAAGTCCCATTGAGTTCAGTGAGGCTGACTCCTGTAGCACAATGGGTCTTAAGAGCGGTACTATTTTGACATCATTGTGCAAAGACTGATCTCGGTCGGGTTAGCGTTAAGCTGATTTCTTTTGAAGCTCGTTGCATTTCTATCAGTCCGGGGTTATTATTATTATTATTATTATTATTATTATTATTATTATTATTATTATTATTATTATTATTATTATTATTATTATTATTATTATTATTATTATTATTAACACCAGGCACAGTCCATCAAAATTATAAAAATATTTACTGGTATTCTATAACAGATCCCAGTTTTAAACAAAAACCTAAGTATCTGTTAAATATCGGCGCACCATGATGATGATGCATCTCAGATTTTAGTCCTAACTGTTGAAGCAAAGCCAACAAAGGATCTTGTGACATCTTGAGACCCATATATTTTCTTTGGCGTAGCCTTTCGCTGATTTGCCACCACTTCTTGAGATGCGTCTGTTTGCTTGGAAATAGATTCAGTGGAATTTATTCCAAAATTAGGAAGGTGGGAACAGGGAATTTGGGGGCAATCTGGGAAGGAAAGAATAAAATGTTCATGTTTTAAACCAGTCACCATCTCCTGCTCTTCCTTCGATAATTCCCAAATGTGGAAATTTCGAATCCTGCATCATACAGACTTTCTCTACAGTATTTATAATTTTCATCATCCCCCCTCGGGTGTGGAGTTTCCAATTGCTGTAACTTTGCCCTTTATCAACAGCATTCAGAAAACTGCTGACCCCTTTTGGAGGTGCAATCCAAATTATACCTTACCTCCCATCTGTTATATATCTTTAATAAAGAAGCACCTCTAATCATCCTGCTCATTTCCTTTTCGATCCTTAAGAGCAGAATTGGTCTTTTTCAAAGCCGCTGCATAGCCCATGGAGGTGGCCGGTGTATTCCCCAAAAAATCACACCCTGTTTTTCTTTCCTGTTTATTCTTTGCCCGTTCAGACTCCAAAGGGCTTATGATGTGAGACTGGAACATTTTTTTCTGATTCCCAGTATGGATCCTTTTATAGTTCATGACGCTTAAGTCTCATATGCCGTTTCGTTGCCGGCTCTCCCAGATGAGACCAAGGTTCTTCCAGCCGATTTGGAATTTCATGCTCCCGAATAATCTAATGTTATTTCGGATGTGATAATTTTACTGTTTTACATGCCTGCAGAACTGGTCCACAATAATAAACTCTGCAAAGAAGTAAAAGAAAATCCCGTTCATAGGAATATCATGGAATTCTAGATGATCATTCCTGTATCTCAGAGGCGATGGGTATGACATTCTGTGCTGGTGATAAATGATGCAAGATGGACTCAACCCCCATTAATCTGCACACTTTGCCCAATTCCGATCACAGATTTGAAGAGACGGGGGGCTTCATATCGAACAACAATAAGAGATAGCTAACTTGGCACACCGTGTTTCGATTTGGGAGTTCTTTCAAATAGACTTAAATATTGAACAACAATAAGAGATAGCTAACTTGGCACACCGTGTTTCGATTTGGGAGTTCTTTCTTTTTCTTTTCTCCCAGTTCAAAACTTGGAGAGTTGGACCCATGGAGTATGTGATTGAACTGGGAGGACTGGTATACCAGTGGAGGCAGAAATGTAGGTTAAGGGGTGAAGTGGGACGGCTGTGCTCCCTGTTTCCTGGCAGGGCTTTATCACTTGACTTTGGTGTGGCACAAGCAAAAACATTCAACAAGTCACCGTCCCTCAATCCCTGAATGGATAGCCGGGACTGCAGTCCGCAAAAAGGTTCTGCCAGATAATATTAATTAATCTTCAAGGTGCTTCCTTGGACTTTAGCTTGTTATTGGTTCCACAGACAAATAGGGACGCTGCCCTCCTGTTTTTGAAATTTCCCTGTCCACTAAAACTCTAGGCCTTTATGAACTGCACCCCAAGATTGATTGATTGGTTGATTGCTTGCTTGCTTGCTTGCTTGATTGATTGATTGATTGATTGAACTTCTGAACCATACCATCCAAACCATCCGTCTGACCGATGGTCACTCTGGGTGAGGGACAGCAGCCAAACTATAATAAAACATACCATTCAACTTCTACAGCACCACAAAAAGAAAATATTAAAAGCTGGTTTAAAATGGGTCAGGTGGCTTATAGATGTTAAGCCTACATTTGAGCTGAATTATTGGGAGTGTTGTGATTTGGAAAGGCTGCAGAAACAGAAAGGTTTTTAAATCTTTCTTTAAGATCTCCAGGAGGGGAGGAACAGGTGAATCTCTGGTGGCAGGTGGTTCGAGAGCAGAGGAGCGCGAAGGACTGGCTCCGTGTTTTCTCCCTCAGGGACTCGTTTGGAATCCGCATCCTCGGCCGCCCAGCCTGAGATTGCATGGATAAGGGCAGGCAGCTCCT